GAAAATCTCAAGAGTTTTTTTACCCTAGGCTTAACACCCAGACAATAGTGCAAGTCCAAGAAGATTTTCTCCACCTCCAGCTCACACAACATCCCTTTTCAACTATGGCCAACTACATCATGACAATCCACAGCACCGCAGGCTGGTGGGCTTCAGCGACAGGGAGATAAACTTATTCCAAATATATCTGGCTGTCTTCCTGGCTTGACAAACTGCCAAGCACACATCAAGCACAAGACAGCTCCCAGTCTGACTAGCCTTACCTTTACTTTTTCTGCAAGCAAAGGAAAGGTTAAATTAGTGAACATTTTGGTTTTCCTTTAGAGAACAAAAGCCACAAAAATATGGTCTGGAAATACGACAACAGAAATAAATCCATACCCTTTGACACAAACGCCTTGAATCTAAGTCAAGTTTTATCAGCAAAGGAATTGAAGAATAAAATTACAGGATTTGGGGCTTCATAGTCTGTCCTAAGAGCCAGAAGTCAGTATCGCTGAGCTTGCCATTAGCTGGAACTGTTTCTGCTGCTAAAAGACCATTCTGATTAAATACCCTTGATAAAAAGATAAAGCTGAACACCACATGAGACAGTTGCATAGGTGAAGGCCAGAGCAGCATCAGGACCATAAATGCCTGGAAGCTACCTTCCTGACTAGTCACATTAAAGAAAGATCATTTAGTCATAAGATAAAACAACAGGTAAATTAGCACTTCACCATTTTTTTAAGCCTCAGGTGATTCACCAAGGAAACAGTCTTAGCATGTTCTTCATGAGATAGAACTGAGAACACAGGGGCTCGTGTGGATTATTAGACAAAAAAACACAAAAGTTATTCTGGAGAGGACAAACAAATTCATGGGTTACAGAAACATGAGATGCCAGATTGTCTGCTGGTAGCACAACACAATCTTTGCAGAAATTAAAAATAAAAAAGAACCAACCAAACCAAACACCTGGTATTTTCCACTGCTGCCAGACACAAAACATGCAGTATTAACAGCATGGAGCAGTAAACTGTTCTCCATATAGGCAAGTCATTCCCAGTTTGTTTACCCAAAAAACCACATTACTCCATGTGTATGCATCTGCTGCCCAGGCTGAGCATGGCTGTGGAGATGGGGGCAACCGCCTGAACCCAGGAGATGGAGCCAGCTAGGTGATTACTGGCTGTCTTTTTCACTATCACAAAGAACTAGCTTTCTGTGTCTTAAGGACAAATCTTTTCCCTGATTTTGACAGATACTTGGTCAGTAGACCAAATCTGCTGCTGTCCCAGCAGACAAGCAAAGCTGCTTTTGGACCCACCCTTGACTCGAAGCTACCTTTCCTTCTTCAAGGCCCCATGCACTGGGGCCAAGAGATCCACCAGCACAGCTGACAGAGCTTACAAGGGTGGAAATAACAGTTTTGTTTTGGCTTTGCATAGGCGAAAAAGAAGAGTAAAACACAGGGTAAGGCTACATCTCCCACACCTTCAGTGCAATATTGCTTTCCCCTGGGACAGATGTGCGTGGGACCTTGTGTCCTCATCTAGGTCCATGCTGCAGCACAGGGCACCCTGGAAATAACTCAGAGGCTGCCTCACTCCCTCTGCCCTGTCTCAGCGACTATTCAAAAGCCAAGGTCTTTAAAAGAAACCTCTATATAACTAAAGAAGTATTGTAGTTGTCATGTATTGGGTTTGCACTGCAAGGTTTCGAGGTTTTGGCAGCAGGGCAGCTACAGGAGTGGTTTCTTTGAGAAGATGTTAGAAGCTGCCCCCACATCCAATACAGACAATGCCAGCTGGCTCCAGGACAGACCTGCCGCTGGCCAGATGGTGATAGCACCTCTGTGATAATGTATTAAAAAAACCCAACACCCTGTGCAATTGCAGCTGGAGAGACAAATGAGAATATGTAAGAGAAACAGCCTGCAGACAGGCAAATCAGTGAAGTGGGAGGAGGATGTGCTCCGGGCTCTGGAGCAGAGATTCCCTTCCACCCCACGATGAAGATCATGGTGAGGCAGACTGTCCCCCTGCAGCACACTGAGTTTAATGCAGGAGCCCGTGCTGGGGCAGGTTTCCTGGCAAGACTTGTGACCTTAGGGGGAACCCACGCTGGAGCAGTCTGTTCCTGAAGGACTACACTCTGTGGAAGGGACCCACGCTAGAGCAGTTTGTGAAGAACAGCAGCCCATGGGAAGGACTCATGTTGGAAAGGTTTGTGGAGGGCTGCCTCCAATGGACTGACCCCGTGCTGGAGCAGGGGAAGAGTCTGAGGACTCCTCACCCTGAGGAGGAAGGAGTGGCAAAGAGGACATCTGACAAACTGACTGCAACCCCATTCCCTGACCCCCTGTGGGGAAAGACAGTAAAGAAACTGGGAGTGAAGTTGAGTCTGGGAAGAAGGGAAGGTTGGGAGAAGGTGTTTTTTAAGATGTAGTTTTTATCTCTCATTACCCTTCTCTGATCTGATTGTTAACAAATTAAACTAATTTCCCCAAGTCGAGCCTGTTTTGTCCATGGCAGTAATTGGTGGGTGATCCCTCCCTGTCCTTATCTTGATCCAAGAGCCTTTTATTCTATTTCTCGCCCCTGTCCAGCTGAGGAGGGGAGTGATAGAGAGGCTTTCGTGGGCACCTGGTGTCTAGCAAGGTCAACCCACCACAACCCAATCACACAAACAGCCTATCAACTTTCATCCAGACATCCTCCATAATAGCTTCCAGCTTTTGTTCCCCTCTGCTCCTCTTCAGTCTTCCTCCTTACTACTCCTTTTGTTTACTCTTTTGTCCTTCCAGACAATGCCCTTCCCCTTGCACTGTAGATCTTTTTGCTTTCTTGTAGGATCACATTGCTTTCCTACATTAAATGCATCCCAAGGTACAAGGGATGTGCAAAGGGAGATCAGCACTCTCAGGCAGAGCTTCTGTGGGTTTATTTTGCTTGAGTTTCTTGGATTTTCCTCCAATTTACAATTTACTCCGAAGCATATAGATGAAGTCTAGGGATTGAACTGTGCACTCAGTATCTCCAGGGTTGATCTAGCTAAATATCCCTGATTCATCCAGTGCTAGACCAAGGTAAGGAAAGACCAAATGTGCCCAGACACATTTATTATACACAGCCTCCTGTATGGTGTAGATGCATGTGCACACACCTGACAATTTCATTCATGCAGAAGGAAAAAAAAATTAGTAGATAAAATACAGTAGATGTTAAATAACCATAAAATAAACACATTCAAGCTTTCATAGCCTACTCAAAACGTGCCAAGTATTCAGCTTTGCTCTCCCAAGTTTCAAATAGGGGTTGTCTGTCTCTGCATCATGCCTATCTCCTGACTTGAATTCTTGGCTAATATTGGCACAGAAATAAAAAAAAAAAAAAAGATAAAGCAAGTAATTACTCTCAATATGTAGCAACAGTGGCTCTTGACATTCAACACTTTGCTTTTGGCTAAACCTTTGCTGTGTAAATAAATACATGGTTTGGGTTATTCTGTGTTATGAGATACAAAGATGAGTAATAGGCCATATTTTTGGTTCCTGAGGCCTAGAATTACACTGTTGGAATGAATTACTTTCCTGAAGTTTATGGTGTGACACATCATATGAGCAATTGCTGCTTCTCTCAAATCGTCGCACTAAAATAGTTCAGGTTGGGCCAAAGCACACCAAAACGGAGGTGAGGGGGAAGTGCAAACACCACTCTTCACAGATCCTTGGAGGAGATGGTGACATTGCTTGCAGCACCAAGCAGCTAAAACACCATCAGCAAATACAGTCACGTGTCATCACCCAAACAAAGGCACGTGTTGGACACACACGGGCGGGAGGTTTTTTGCCAACTAGTGTTTTAGGAGGGTTTGTGAATCTGCAAGAGAGAGTTGGTGGGGGGAAGAGGAGCTGGCTGGCACCAAACTGCACAAAAACAGTCAAAGCAAGGCCCGGAGAAAAAAGCAAGAAGAGATAGCTTGAAGAACCAAACGTTGCCTGGAGAAATCTGGGAGCCAGGGCTTCGGTTGCTAAATCACTGCTGCATCCAGAGAAAACACATTTGCATCATCTTTATAAACAGTCATACCCCAACATATGAAATTGCAACAAAGCATAGAAGGTGGCTCACAGATCATAAGGATGCTTCAGGGTAGTGTCCATATGCCCATGGGAAGAGGCACATTTCACTCCAGGCAGCTCCCCAGACCTGCACCCCAATAGGATGCCAAGCCCATGGAGCTGGTGACGGGTCTGCTGCACCAGGCAGGAAGAACTTCCAGGTGCTCAGTGGGCAGAAGGCAAAGTCATCTTCTTCCCCTTCCCTTCTGCCTGTTATTTATAACCCTGCCATTGACACTTGGAAAGATCACAGGTCAAGAAGCAGTGCTTTTGTTAGTGAGAGAAAGATGTTTGTTTACCCAGTGGACACGAAAAGGTCTATTTAGATCATTGCCTGACTGCTCTAAAGCAGTGCTGTTTGTCAGCCTGCAGCACAGTCTTACTGAGAGATTTTTTTTTTCTTTGAACCAACCCTCCATAAATACTCCTCAATGCTGGAAGTCTGCTTTGAAAACTTGTGGTTTTCATCTTCTGTGTGCTTCAATAAGAAATTCAAGGCATGGTCCGCCTGCACTGTACTGCTGATGGGAAACCAAGTGTTGGATACCAGGATGAAGCTGAACACAAACCCAATAATATTGGAGGGAGGATCCAAGCCTGCTGTAGAACTTACTTTCAATTACATACAAAATTGATGGAAGGCAATTTGGCTTCTGTAAGCAATGCTCCCTCACTGAAAGTGCTCAAGACCAGCTTAGATGGGAGCTTTGAGCAAAGTGATCTAGTGGGAGGTGTGGGTTTGGCAGGGGGGGTGGAACTAAATGATCTTTAAGGTCCCTTCATCCTATGATTCTATGATTCTGTTTTTTGGTTGGCTCTTCCCCCCCCCCCTCCCCACCCAAAGCTGCAAAGAGCTTTACTCAAGCCATGGTTTTACAGTAAAACATTGAACCCTCTACATGGCTTTCCTTTCAAAGCTCAAGCTTTGACCAGCTTAAGATACATCATGACTTCACTGAAAAAAAAACAAGTAACAACCATATGATCAGCAGTGACTTAAGCTACACGGTACGTTAGCACTTGAGGAGACGAGGTCTGAGTTCGGCCTTGGGTTTCTTGCTTGCCAGATCGGATGTCTTTGCACAGGCTGCCTCTTGGCAAAAGGAAACACCTCAATGGCAGCAAACCTTCCTGTTTGCTAAAAAACAGGTTTTCTCAATGGCCTGTTTGCGGAGTTAAAGTCAAGAGGTCTTGAACAATGCTCACGTCAGATGCTTGCAGCAACATCCAGAGAACAGCTTCATAGTAATGCCCTTGACTAGCAAAATAATGTTATAACATGTTTAACTTTACAGAGAACAGAAGACAGCACATGACCTTGCAAAATCAGGATATGACATTTTGGGGACTTTTTTTTAAGTTTTCCCCACTTACCCAACCACTTGAATTGTTTCCTTCTGCAAATTCTCGCCTAACTTTAAGAGGAAGGCAGTTCCTGCCAAAGGGAGCTCCAGCTGAATTGAGAGGAAACTGGATTGAATAAGAATCCAGCAAGCGCTGTGGGATTTGGCCAGGAGACCAACACAGCATAAGAGAAGCAACTTCAACTGTTGGAGGGACAACCTCCCGGCCTTTCTTTTTTTTTTTTTTTCCATCTTCTTTGATTTTCTTTTCTGTCCTCTTTTTGCAAGTCTGCTTCTGACAGACCTTCTGGAGATGATGCCAAGTCAGGCAGCAGTGCTGACTCTCAGCATTGTCGCAGGCCATGGGCCATTGGAGGCCTGGTGCTCCCTGACCATTCAGACATAGTTCAGAGCTGCAGGCTACAGAGTGCAGCTGGGGGGACAGTCAATGGGAAGGCCTGAGACTTGCACTTTTGCACCTAAACTCACAAACCTTTACTGTCTGGTTTAAGCTTAGCCAGGAGACTGAGACAAAGAACCAGACCATGTTGTTATTTTACAGCCAGCATTAGTGCAAAGCCATTTCCAGCTTTTTTGAAGTGCCCAAAAAGGCTCAAGCAATGAATTAGTTTTATTTTCTTCCTTCCTTTCAGTGATAGCTCTCTGGCACCACTTGTAGCTTGCTTTGTATTTAGGACTATCCTCGCCACAAAAATCTGAGCCTAATTTTCAAAAGCAGCTGGTGATTTTGGGTGGCCAATTCAAATCATATTAAACAGACCTAACTTAGAAGCCTGCACAATTGTCAACACAGTCCTGAAAGCAATCTCTTTAAGGGTATCTCAGTTTAGGTAACCAACCAGCCAGACACACAAGTTGCTTTTCACAACTGAATCCAAGGATTAGAAAATGCCAGCTTCATTCACTGAGTAGCGTTTATTCTTTCCTTTAACTATTACAGCTTAGCAAATGTTACAGAAGAGAAAAGGAATATTTTTTTATCCATAGCAAGTTCCAATACCTTAAGAAATAAAGCATTAAAGAAAAGGATCATCCAAGCAAATGCACACTAGAAATCAATAAACTGTTCACCACCAGAAGGGACCACACATGTCCCACTCAGGACAGAGAGAAATCACAGCTCTTCTGTTAGGACTGTCAGACATGGAGGAGTCGAGATCCCATCACAGAAACACAAACTTCACTTTCACTCTGGAAATGAACACAATGAAACTGTAGGAAAAGTAACGTTCTTGATCATTTGCCAAATTAACTTGTGGCCCATACCACAATTCAGAGAAACTGCCTGAAAAGGCTCCTGGGGTGGCATTTTTGGTGGGACTTCCTTTGGCTTTCCTGCTTGGCTTCCTAGCTACCATCCTATTTACCTGTCAAGAACCACTTTGAAAGAAAAATTCAGATAATTTCTGTGAGTATCACTAGAATGTAACCACTTGCTAACCATGCTGCTTATAGCTTAGTCATTCATGTTAAGGAAGCCAGCAATTGTCCAAACCCACAGCCATGTGTTATTGCAGACTCTTCCACAAGAATAAGGCCTGTCCTATTTATCAACATTAGAAATGGTCAACCCTTCAGTGATGGTCATCTGGTACCTTATATGCCTTGTATGCTTGCTACGAATGGAAAAGGGGGGGATAGAGGCTGAGTTAAACAAGTACATTCATGTGCACATATATGCACTGTGAAAAGGCTGCTCAGTAGCTATACAATCAGGGATGCATTGAAGTTTTATGTGAAATGAGAAGTATTGAGTGGCAATGTTGGGTCTTTGATAGTTTTTTTTAATCTGCTCTTTGTAGGACAGCTGAATATATGGGTTTTGTTTTGTATTTGCTCTGGCTTTAGTAAAACCAACAATCAAAAATAGACAGGAGTCATGTCTGTTAAAGTATTCTCCTTCCTTCTGAGTCTCTGGCAGTGTAAGCAAAGAGTTTGGAGCTCAGCAATACATAAAACCAGCTGCTGTAGAGACAAGCACCGGATAAATGTCTCAGTAGGCAGGAGGCCACTCTCTCTGTTGGCAAACTAGGCAAAGTCAGGAAAGCTTGAAATCAGCCCCGAAGAAATAAAAGCTCTTCTAGGTAAGAAAGTTGCTCGGAGTATGCTCACTCAAATGTTTCAGATTCAAGACACCTTGAGCGGAAAGAACAAAATTGCCAGAGGATAAAAAAATCTTACCATTACCTACAGCCCAAAGACGACAGTATCCAGAGACGCAGAAAAGAATTCAGGAGTACTTTAGATAAGCAAATGAACATAAGCCCTCTTGATGCCACAGCCAACTTAAACATAATCCCTCAAAGCATAAGCAGGATGTATTTGTAACCATAAGAAAAGGTATTAATTACACCTGTCCAAGACACTGGGGGCTATTATTAGATTACTGTATCCACTTCTGGTGCCAGTAATTAAAAAATGATGTTAAAAATTTGGAAAAAGTTCTGAAAAGAGCTTCAAGAACAGTCTGAAGTCCAAGAACTGTTCATCTAAGTAACTGAATGAAGCTCAAAATATTTAATTAGGAGAATGTTACACACTGACTTAATGATTTTCTGCAAGTACCGACATGAGGAAAAGATTTCTGATAATGGAAAGCTCTTTAATCTAATAAAATAAAAATTAACTTCCCAAAAGGTAAATTGGGCAAACTCAGGCTATAAACACAATCCATGTTTTCTTTAGGTGGGGTGAAGTAATGATAGAAACATCTTATCTTATAGAGATGAATGTAGATCTTGAATTTTTCCTCCCTCTCTGAAAAGTATGCAATATCTCAACAAAACATTTATACAGCTCAGCTACTCCTTTGGAGAAGACTGGGCTCATCTTCTACAGGAACTCAGGCTGGATGATTTGCTGTGATCCCTTTGGGCCCCAGTGCCTTTACATATGCAAAGAGTCTCTAGTCCCTGCAGAGTGGCAGGACACAAGGCACAACATAGGAGGATGGGGGTGACCTCTGCAAGACGCTCGGGGAGCCATCAGCAGTCACATCAAGAGAGACAAATTTTGCAAGCTCTCTTTGACATCCTTGCTGGAGCTCCCCAGTGCAGAAGACATGAAGTGTCATGAGGAGTCACGCAAATATTGATACTGCTGCAGGCAGCCCAACTCACCCACGGCTCAGCTGCCAACTGTTTTGGCACAGTCAGATTAGCGTTTCCATGGGGAGACAGAGTTTTCATGTGTCGAGACACTGGTGTTTGTAAGGACATGCTATGGGATTGCTCTCTCTATGCTAAGACAAAGGACCTCCCGGCCTTTCTATAGAATATTAGGGGTTGGAAGGGACCTCTGAAGATCATCAAGTCCAACCGCCCTGCCAGAGCAGGACCAAACTAGGGCAGATCACTCAGAAAGGCATTCAGAGAGGTCTTGAAAATCTCCAGAGAAGAAGACACCACAACCTCGCTGGGGAGCCTGTTCCAGTGCTCTGTAACCTCACAGTTAAGGAAGTTCTTCCTCATGTTGAGGTGGAACTTCCTGTGCTTGAGTTTGAGTCCATTACCCCTTGTCCTATCACAGGGCACAGGTGAAAAGAGGTTGTCCCTGCCTTCTTGACGCCCAGCCTTTTGAAGGCGTTAAGACTGTCAGTATCACAAGGTTGTGTGCATGAGCTCCTCAGGACTTCCTCAATCTCTGCTTTAATGCCCTTCCACACAGTATGGTATTTCCCAAACTTCTGCAGTTTTTTCTTCCCTTTCCTCTTATTTCAATCAGGAAGGAAAGAAACAGAGCGGGGTAACTGCTGACTTAACACATAACTAAGGCCTTGTCCGATGTGGTCCATTTCCATAGAGCAGCTCAGCTTCACAGGAGGAGGGCTGTTCTTGGTCATATCTTTCTTCAACATGTTTTTTACTTCACATCATATTTATGGGTAACTTAATGCCATACTTCATGGGCAACTATTGTTATTCTTTCCTGGACATAATTCTGCTTTGCTGTTTCTGTAAAACCAGCTGCCCCTTTCCCCTCATCTTCTGCTTCCTACCCTTTTTAACAGCTGAAATAAAGACCTATTCTTATCTGCTAGCATTTCTGCCCCCCGAAACAGCCAGACCTTTAGACCACAGTGACCAGCTGCAGATGGTTTTGAGGCAAGGGGGATGCTGCAATTCTACCCATGCCCAGCCACTCTGAAAAGAAACCCCCAAGAATGATGCTTTCCCTTGATGCTCTATAACCAAAGCAGCAGGATTTGTACAACACATGGGTGGCACGGGGTCAGAGGACAGCCTGAGAAATAGGAACATATGTGGCTACAGCACAGCCCCATCCATGGGAAGGAACACATGACTTGTCTTGAGCAGGTCATGGAAAGGATCCATCTTGCCTTTGGCAGAAAGAAATCAATTCCAGTGACCCTTCAGTGCCCTCTTGGTCAACTAATTAATGGAGTAGCCATAACTGCATCCCTCAAGGCAAAGGAGCACATTTTTACCTCCCCGGCCTCTAAAGATATCTACACAAGTCAAGAGAGATGATGGAAGAGGCAGAGACTGATGGAAGGAGAGGCGGCAGAAAGCCAGACGCAGAGATACACAAGAGTGCACTGAAGAGGTTCCAAAAGAAAGCCTTATGAGCTTGTCAAAAACAGCCTCTGGGCCAGAAACATCCTCTGAAAGGAGAAACTGTGTCTCTGGGCCAGATGGGTTTGCCTTGCCATTGACATGCAAAATGTTCATCAAGTATCCCTTTCCAAATATTAGCAATTTTTCAGAAAAGGGCTATTTTAGCCCTGTTCATAAGGTACGACTGACATGCCTAAACACTGCCCAGCACTTAGGATGAAAGCTCTTTGAACTCAAGGCACGATCAGCTAACAGGAAAGAAGTTTTTCAGGGCCTGTCCCACAAAAGCATGGGGACCCTGATGTGCAGTCACTGCGGCAGATGGAAACAAACTGCTACACAATGGGGGTCCTTTTCCACCCAGATGTGGCCTGAATAGGCTGTCAGGACAAGCAGCAGCCACCAGAGCAGAGAGGCATGGCAGGGCATGGTTGATGCCTTGGTTGCAAGTGAACCGTATCCCATCCAGCTGTTTCTGATAAGCCACAACTTGCCTTCCTAATGCTGAAAACCTCTTCTGTCACAGTGAGATGGATGATCTCAGGTTCCGTGTGGCGAAGCAAACGCAGAGGAGCGATACCAAATGACATTCCTCCAAGACTGATCCCTGCAGGAGAAACCCGGCAGCTCATGCCGCTTCCCGTTTTCCCGCCCATGGACTCATAATGCATTTCATGTTAGTCTTTGTTTTACATTCTAGTGTTGAAATGCATAACCGGGCTTATGGAAGACTAAGTGTCCCTGATTTAAAGCACTTTAATACCAA